TGGTGGACAGAGTGCCTGAAAAACTTTGGATAGAGGCTCGTAACATTGTATAGGAGGCAGCAACAAAAACAATCCCAAAGAAAAGGAAATGCAAGAAAGCAAAGTGGCTGTCCAACGAGGCCTTAGAAATAGCAGAGAAGAGAAGGGAAACAAAATGCAAGGGAGATAGGGAAAGTTGCAGAAAATGGACTGCAGACTTCCAAAGAATAGCAAAGAGAGACAAGAGAGCCTTCTTAAATGAACAATGCAAAGAAATAGAGGAAAATAATAGAAAAGGAAGAACCAGAGATATGTTCAGGAAAATTGGAGATATTGGAGTATCTTAAAAAGCAGAGACATCACCTTGCTGACAAAAGTCCGCATACTCCAAGTAATGGTTTTTCTTGTAGTGATGTATGGAAGTGAGAGCTGGACCATAAAGAAAGCTGACCAACGAAGAATTGATGCTTTTGAATTGTGGTGCTGAGAGTCCCCTGGACTGCAAGGAGAACAAACCTATCCATTCTAAAGGAAATAACCCTGAGTGCTCACTGGAAGGACAGATCCTGAGGCTGAGACTCCAATACTTTGGCCATCTCATGAGAAGAGAAGACTCCCTGGAAAAGACCCTGATGTTGGGAAAGTGTGAAGACAAGAGGAAAAGGGGAAAACAGAGGACAAGATGGTTGGACAGTGTCATCGAACCTACCAACATGAATTTGACCCAACATCTGGAGGCAGTAGAAGACAGGAGGGCATGGCATGCCTTAATGACTTAATGACTAAAGAACAACAAAACAGAAGTATAGTTTCCAAATCCTGTGAGGTACTAGTTCCCTTCTATTCAGCCCTGATTGGTTTCCAAATCTTGTGAGGTACTAGTTCCCTCCTATTCAGCCCTGATTTGGCCTCATCTAAAGTACTATGTCCAGTTCTGGACATCATTCTTTAAGAAGGACACCAACAAACTGGAGCAAGTTCAGAAGATGGCAACAAGGATGATCAGGGGACTGGAAACCAAGCCTTATCAGGAAAGACTGAAAGAACTGGGCATGTTTAGCATTGAAAATAGAAGATTGAGGGGAGATATGATAACACATTTCAAATACATGAAAGGCTGTCATACAGAGGAGGGGCAGGATCTGTTCTCAGTCATCCCAGAGTACACAACACATAATGATGGGCTCAAGCTATAGGAAGCCATATTTAGGCTGAATATCAGGGGAAACGTCTTAAATATTAGAGCAGTACAACAATGGAACCAGTTACCTCAGGAGGTAGTGAGTGTTTCAACAATGGAGCGTTACCTCAGGAGGTAGTGAGTGTTTCAACGATGGAGGCATTTAAGAGAAACTTGGACAACCATCTGTCAGATTTGGAGGCCTGCACTAAGCAGGGGGTTGGACTCAATGACATTTAGGTCCTTTCCAAATCAATTATTCTAAGACTCTATGAAAGCTACCCTACAAATGGAGATCATTGTTTTTTATCAGCTTCCTTATCCTTTTCCAGTGGCTGCACTGCCCAAGGCTGATATGAGACGTAGGCCAAAACTATCTGGAGGACCACAGTTGCCCACCCTAACCCTAGACTCCACTAACTGGCGCAGCTTTTGAAGGTTTTAGACAAGGGTGTCTTCCACTCACTTACTTCCAGTTTCTCCTGTAAACTCCAGGTGTTATTTTTAGGAGATCAGTTTGACCCCTCTATAATACATGATAAATTATTTTTTTAAAAAATATGAAATCTAATTCTTACTCCTCACTAGACAAATCCCCCACCCCACAAAAGGGATGTGTTACATCAGCTCTTGGGTAACTCATTGATTCAGTCAGTCTGCTCTCAATGGGGCTAGCAATTTGAGTTAATAACGAATAACTAACCATAGATTTTGTTTTGTGATAAGAGTGGTTTGTAAATGTGTGCATTACTTGAAATACCTTTTCTGTTTTCAGGAGATTGGATGGTTTGATGATCATAAGAACAGCATTGGGGTTCTGTTAACCAGACTTGCAACAGATGCGTCCCAAGTCAAAGGAGTAGGTCTTCCATTACCTGATTGCTTCTTGTTGAAATTATATTGCTTAGCTCTAATTGTTTGTGGAGGTGCTTACAACAAGGAAACAATCCCAAAAAAGGCCACACAATAAATCTATTTGAGAAAGTGCCTGGCATTCTAAATACCAGACTGACAATGTTCTACTTTTTAACTTTTTGGGGCATTGATTCAACTCGCTGCAGGCTGAATTTTCTAACCCTCATTTGTTCGGTGTAACTCCTACCACAGGATATTCAGTAAGAAAGGGCCAAGAGGGTCTGATTGAAAGATGATTTCCACTACTTAAATTCTCTGCAGATTTGGGGGTTTTTAAAATGTGTTTTGTTTTGTTTTGCTTTGCAGTACCAAGACAAAGGTCTGCGGCTGGAATTTTTTTCGGTTTACAGCATTGCCTGTTTGACTTTGTGTTGGAATGGAGCTATACTCTTGCATTTATCCCATGGTGCATTTGTGAAATTTCAGATCACTTGTTTTAACTTATAAAGGGAAACAGTGTCAAGAAACTTCTATTGTGAATGAATGATGAATTGCTTTTTCTAATCATTCAGCTGCATGAGTTGGCAAGAACTCAACAGCTTTTTTTTTGTCAAGGTCGAATGAAAGAATTACTCACCCTGCCTTCTTAGCTGAACATGCAGATCCTGTACAGCTATGCCTAACTTTGCTTTACTAAGACATCGTAATGCTGACTTCTTATATTGTCATGTAAAGATCTGTAGCTTTCAAACTTCAAAAAAAATTATTTTGTTTTGTTTAGGCTACTGGAAGCCGGCTGTCTGTATTAACCATGACTGTCTTCACACTTGTGACATCTCTTGTTATTGCTTTTGTGCATGGCTGGCAATTAACGCTGCTCATCTTGGCCTGTATTCCTTTCATTGCTGCTACACAAGCTATCAGAGTCAAGTCAATGTCTGGTCATGCAGCAAGAGATCAAAAAGCCCTTGAAGAAGCAGGAAGAGTAAGTTCTCTGTTATCTCTGAAACATATGGCTATGACTCAGTCATGAGTTGGGTTTGACTGGTAGCCTTCCAGATGTACACCAATTCCCATCAGTTCTAGCCAGCATCAACAGTGGCCAGGGATGATAGAATTTGTAGCCCATTGACATCTAGGGAGTCACTCACTGCCACCCAAAAATTATATGTGCAGCAGTGGACAATCTATCCAGCAGTACTTGTATATCAACAGCTTGGTTTGTTAGTTTGCTTATCATTTTTACAATGTATTTAAAAATGTATGTAAGTCGATCATAGAAGAGCTCATTTTAAAAGCACATGATTAAAATGCAATTCCACGACCCCCCAAAAAAAATCAGAAAAGGAAATCAAGAACAAAGTCTGGATTATTTCTCTAATGCATTGGGAGGAACCAAAACAGATAGGAAGCTGCCCACTACCAGTTGACACATGGAACCCACCATCGTTTCTTTTGGTCTGGTTTATTTAACCACTGCCACTGATAATGAGAACAAGTGATGAACATGCACCAATATGCCGCTTGCAACTCTGACTTGACATATCAATGGATGCAATGCATCTACTCTCATACCAGACACATGTGGTTAGTTTAGTATTTGTTGACCATTATAAAGTTTCTCTTGGAGAGCACCTGGCTTTTCACTGTGTGTGTATTTAAGATTCATACTCTCTTTTCTTTTTTTTCCTTAACTTTAGATTTCAACAGAGACTGTGGAAAACATAAGAACGGTGGCTGCATTGACAAGAGAAGATAAATTTTTTGAAAGATACAATGAAAGCTTAGAAGGCCCATATAGGTTAAATTTTTCATACTAATAGATGTGTTATTTTTGGGATTAATTTCTTAATTCTTAATTGCCTTCTTTGACGTTTATACATAGTGAGACAGGAGTATAACAGAGTCATTCCAAAACATCTGTTGTCTGAGGTAAAGGACAGGATCATGGTTCTTCCCTCATTTCACACCAGTCGAAGCTTTACTTCTGATGATGGGCTAGCATTGTCTACCACGCCAGAGGGCATGAGACTGATTTAAGAGATCAGAACAGACCATGTGGCAGGAACAGCTCTGCCTACCAGCAGGCACAAGCTCAAGAACAATAGTTGGGGAATTGCCACTGCAGGCCCTTGCATCTGCTACCTGAGAAAGCTACTCCCCTGTGGCTAATAGTGGAGCTAATGCTGTGAGGCTATGATCCTCTCTTGCTCCTTTACTAGCTAAAATTCTGAAAATGTAATTGGATCAACCTTTGAACAGATTTTAAAATAGTCATGTAGTCCATTACGGGCCCCATTGCTGATGTTCATAAGGGCTGTTGTTGCTGCTTCCATGCAAGATGTTTGGTGGTGTTTGATAACCAGCAGCTTGTGCAAAACTCTGGCTGCACTGAGTTTTAACATAATTTATATCCAAGTAAATATAACCGCAGGCTAAAACTCAGCACATACAGAGTCCACCATTCAGCTAGCTTAATTCATTGTGCCAGTTTTGAAAACTTCCACCATCTAGTTCCGAATACTGTTGTGCTAAGGTTTCTATGATTCTCTTTGCATGCTGTCAAGGAAAAGGAGGAAGTGCTGTTTTATTTATTGCTGATATGTAGACAGAATGATGCAATCTGGGCAAAATGCAGCTTTCCAAATGTAGCAGCAAAATTTATTTATTGCTGATATGTAGACAGAATGGTGCAATCTTTCCAGATATAGCAGCGAACCTCTCATCAGCTCTAGCAAAGATAACCAATGGAACGTTGTGAACTGCAGTCCATAACCACCTGCAGGGCTGTGCCAGTTGAACAATAGTTGAGTGCCATATATTGAGTGCACTGAGGCCTGTGAGGTCACAACTTAATATCTGCTCTCAATCCCTTGACCCCTCTTACTCTATCTCCATTCCCAGCTCAAATATTTATATCAGACACAATGTGTATGTGATTGCTCTCAATCCCTTGACCCCTCTTACTCTGTCTCCATTCCCAGCTCAAATATATCAGGCACAATGTGTATGAGACTCAAGACCTCTTCAGTCATAGCCTACCAGGTTAGCAGCATGCTTACAAAGAAGGTCCTAGCCGTCTTCCCTCTCCGTTGTTGCTTCCCACACATTGGAAGCAATATGTTTCAAAACAGAGTTTTGTGCTTGCATGTAAGCTTCTTGTGGAGGCAAGAACCTTGGAAAATCAGAAAGCCTATACTGGAACCTCTACTTTTCACATATGTCATTCTTCCCATGGAGAAAACATGGAGAGGGGAGAGTCTAGATCAGTGGTGTCGAACTGTGGCCCTCCAGATGGCCAGCAGAGGTGGTGGTGAAGGCTTCTGGGAGTTGAAGTGGGAGAGTCTAGATGCTCCTTCTTGAGCATGTTGGCTGTAACCAGGAAAGTAATGAATGAATAGGACTGGAAAAGTTATGTAGGTTTAGTTTGATAGAATTCTAAGTTATTGGACTTACATAGGTTGGATTTTACATATGTCCCATGTTTTGTCCAACATGTAAAGATAATCCAAGATAGGATGGATGAAGAACAGATGGGCCAACAGGTATGAATTAGGTATCCCACTACTGTTTGAGGATTCATGTGCGAAGTGAGGTGTGGATAGATTTTGTCTAGTGCTTACTAGACAACAAGAAGTTTATATTGATGAATCCATTGTTTTGTTCTTTTTCTCCTGTTTATTTTTGTTAGTTTCACAACAAATTGTAATTCTTTCCCATTGGCTTTCCTCTTATTAGAGATGCTCTGAAGAAAGCTCCCATTCATGGATTTTCATATGGCATCTCCCAGAGTGCCAACTTTTTTATAAATGCTGCTGTCTTCAGATTTGGAGCATGGCTTATCGCCCACTGTTACATGAACTTTGAACAACTTTTTATGTGAGTTGATTTTCTAAAGATTGGTGTGTGGGATTTTTAGTATTGGATTAAAACATAAACAGAATTTTTAAAAAGATGAAGGTAGAGATCTTTAGTTGATACCCAATGTGGTGTAATGAATAGAGTGAGGGACTAGGACTCCATTCTCTCACATCTTTAGTTGATACCCAATGTGGTGTAATAAATAGAGTGAGGGACTAGGACTCGAGTCTCTCACTTGAATCCCCATTTGGACATGAAAACTCACCGAGGGAGTGGAACTGGTAAAACCGTTCCTTAAATATCACTTACCTTGAAAGTCCAGAACTGGTAAAACCATTCCTTAAATATCACTTACCTTGAAAGCCCGTTAGTGTCACTAGTCATTTCCAACTTAATGGCACATAATTAACATAATTAATTCTATGTAAAGATGATGTTGATTATGATCATCATCATCATCATCATTCAGAAACACCACACACAGACAAAATTATAAAAAAATTGACTGGCATTATACAACAGATACAAGTTTTAACCAAAAACCTAAGTATCTGTTAAATATTGGGGCAGTATGTATGCTGTTCTTAATATTGCCAATTTTTGTAGCTCTGATGGTGTGATTTCTGAGATCTGTAACTTCTTATAGTACTGTGTGAATTTTTTTGATATTGCTCCCAATTGTTGTTGTTGTAGTTGTTCCTCGCACTCCAAAATGGAAAATTACGTGCAGACACTAACAACATAAAACACTTGAAACATCCAGTTACCCGATGGCCATTTTGAAACTGCCAATCAGCTGTGCGATAATGGTCACTTTGTGATGATCGGTTCCTGAAGCAGGGAACCGATCATCGCAAAGCGAAATTCCCCCATAGGGAACATCGCAAAGCGATCGCTTTTGCTATCGCAAAAAGTTTGTCGCAAAGCGATTTTGTCGCTAAATGGAGCACTCACTAAGCGAGGCACCACTGTATCTGTTAAATATTGGGGCAGTATGTATGCTGTTCTTAATACTGCCAATTTTTGTAGCTCTGATGGTGTGATTTCTGCGATCTGTAACTGCTTATAGTACTGTGTGAAATTTCTTGATATTGTTCCTAATTATTGTTGTTATTGTTGTTCCTCACACTTCAAAATGGAAAATTACTTGCAGACACTAACAACATAAAACACTTGAAAAATTCAGAACTTTAAAATGAAAAAGTAAAAGCCAGACTATGGATGATATTGTAATAACAACTGAAATGATTGAGGCAAACTGTGAAAAACTGAAGTGCACCTGATCCAGATGAGCGGCACAGATTTTGTTTAAAGCATTTAACAAGTCTCCTTCAATGTATAGCAGTGCAATTTAATCAATATTGATTCAAAATTCTACAACTGAAGATTGGACATCAATGTATAGCAGTGCAATTTAATCACTTGATTCAAAATTCTACAGCTGAAGATTGGATAAAAATAGGCCACACATTTCTGATAATAAAAGATCAGCAAAAGGACAATGAATCCTTTATATATAATTACTAAACTGAAGACTCCCTATACCCAACTAATCAGAAAGGGAACTTTAAAAAATTCAAGAGCCCCAAAAGATCAGCTGCTTATTGATGAAATGATACTGAAGAATAGAAAAAGACGGGTGAGAGGGGAATCTTAATGTGGCCTTGATAGACTATAAAAAGGCATTTGACTCATTTCCACACAGCTGGATTAACACCAGCTTAAACATTTGTGGGATTAACAAAAATATTCAGACGTTCCTCATGAAAAACATGGAAAACTGGAAAACTGTCTTAATGGCCTATGGTGAAGCAATTGGTGAAGTTAGCATCTAAAGAGGAATATTTCAAGGGGTCTTTGTCACCACTGCTGTTTAACAGCACATGGTCATTTCAATAAGGGCCTTATTGGCTATAATATACAATACCAAAAGTTGTTTGAGAGTGACTTGCATGATGTATATTAATATGAAAAGTCTGTATTCTGTGTTCCGCTATAGCTCCTCAGTCGTAACGTTTTATATTTGCAGAGTCTTTGCTTCAGTGATTTTTGCTGCTATAAATGTTGGTCAGTCCAATTCTCTTGCACCCGATTACAACAAATCAAAAGTTTCTGCCCAAAGGATTTTTCACCTTTTGGATCGGAAGCCACCAATTGACAGCTATAATGAAGAAGGTGAAAAATTGGTAAGATTTTGTTGAAGTGTCTGTCCCCTTCAGTGCATTAAGTCAACTTTGATGTTTCTTTCATAAAAGTAGCATAAATTAGCATTGCTTATTTTTATTCTTATACAATCGTTGTAGACAACTTTTAAAATTATCCATTTGCAGAAACAAAGCACTGGCAGGACATGACTAAGTAAAAGGGTGTTTCAAGAACAAAAATCTATTTTAACAGAAGTTGTACTTAAAAAATAAAAATAAGGACATGTTTACCTTAAGAGGCACTGGTGTAATCTCTGGAGTGAGGAATGGAGGAGATACAGGCGCAGCTTCTAATGCGGTGTGTGACCCGCTTGGCTTGCCTATCCCAAATGTAGGATATACAGTATAGCAAAGCAATGTAGTTGACTGAGGAATAGTCTGGTGCTGAGTTAAATTCTGCTTTGCTTAAGGTGTTTCCACCTCATTTGGGATGATTTGCCTTTTCCACTGCAGTTCCTCACAACTCCCACTGTTCAAGAGGGCCTCTTACCATTTATTATAGGACTGGAAATGGTACAATTCAGTATCCTTTCTTTGTGTATCAGAGATTAATGTCTTCTTTCCCTGAATTAATTTTTACATATTTTTAAGGTTTAATAAAACAATGCATATAGTCCTACAGGATTACATTTCTGTGTTCATTCCCCTTTCTCCCAGCAAATATTTGAAGGCAATATTGAATTCAAGGACATCCATTTTGTATATCCGACCAGAACAGAAGTGCAGGTTTTACAAGGGCTCAATCTAAAAGTTAATAAAGGGCAGACTTTGGCATTAGTGGGAAGCAGTGGCTGCGGCAAAAGCACCTCCATTCAGCTTCTGGAAAGATTCTATGACCCGGGATCAGGACAAGTGGTGAGTCAGTGGCTCTTTCTACACTTTGAAAATAACAGCACAGCAAAGATGTTTCTGCAGCAAGTCATTCTCCATGCCAATTCTAATACAGTGGTGCATCGCATAGCGATCGCTCCGTTTAATGAAGAAATCGCTTTGCGACGCTGTTTTTGCGATCGCAAAAGCAATCGCTTTGCGATGTTCTCTATGGGGAAAATTCGCTTTGCGATTATCACGGGAAAGCGATCATCACAAAGCCCCCATTTTCGTGCAGCTGATTGGCGGTTTCAAAATGGCCGCCGGAAAAAAACATGGCCACCCGCTGTGTTCAGGGATTGATTCCTTGCTTTAGAGGCAGCGAAAACGGCTGCTGTATGGAGGATCTTCACTTTAAGGTTAGTTTTAAGCCCATAGGAACTCGTTGTAGGGGTTTCAGTGCAATTCTATGGGCTTTTTAATATCGCATAGCGACATTTTCGTTCTGCAGTGATTTTTGCAGAATGAATTAACGTCGCAATGTGAGGCACCACTGTACCTAGAACTACTTTTATGTGTGTTTGGTTCACTGTAAATCTTCACATGCTATCCAGAGTGGAGCAGAGATGAAGAAATGCCCAGTATGATTATGTACACCATAATCCATGCAAGCAAACAGCTTAAGGTAGCTTTCAGGTGAGAAGAATGTAAGAGGCAATTTTTCAGTGGCAGCCCTGTAGTGCTAGGCTATGGAGCCTATGATTATCCATATGTTGCTGGATTCAAAGTTCCATCAGTCCTAGCTGAATCAGCAATGATAAGATGATAGAAGTGGTAATTTATCAGGAGCTCTAAGAAATCTTGGGTCAAAGAAGTTAGTGACAGAAGGCTTTTTACTCAGGTTTTGCCTTGGTCAAGTTTCTGTGTTATGCAAACATGCAACAGGTTTCTGTACTAAGATAGCCCTGGAAAGGTCTGAGGAGGAAGTACATACGAATTGCTTTGCTGACACATATAGCCATAGCAATGTTTATTTATTTATTTAAAGGGCTAGACAGCTGAGGTGAGGGGCTCTAGGACCAATTTCCAACACTCCCAAACTTGCTGTTGGCCTCCCCTCCCTGCCCTCCTGGAACACCACCAAAATTTGATGACAGAACTAGAAAAAGACATGCTCCTGAAGTTCAGCATTTTTGGCTTAGGATCAAGCATACCGAGAATGTACACCTTGTTCTCGAGGAGAATGGAGATTTATGGAGCCACATGGGACCTCTGTTCTTTAAAACAAAGAACACACATCATGTGCCTTGTTTTGAAGCTAAAATGCAGTCTTTTTATTGTAACTGCCACCAAAAAGAGTAGTTAGAGTTTGCATGGTCTGAGAGCTATGTGTTGCTTATCTTTTAAACTATTTTGAAATGTTTAAAGTGCAAACATATTGCTTAAAATATAAATAGTTGGCATATATGATGAACAGGTGCACCAACTGTACGGATGGGATTTTTTGACTGCAGTTTCTCCATTCTATCTGACTGATAACTATCTTACAGACATCTGAATGTCACTCACCTGGGCGAAAGGCCTGATCTGGAAAGCTTTCAGGCCTAGCTAGGCCTAGGTCTCCCCATGCTCCCTGTCCCTGCCCTGATACTAGCTGGCAACTTCCTTCTAAACAGGAATATAGGCCAAGCTAGGCTTGGAAGGCTTCCAGTTTATGCTTTTCTCCATGTGAGCCACATTTAGGTATGTATCTATAAGGTGTTTGTCTGTGAAGGCATCTGAAGGCATATTCCAGGAATATAGGCCAAGCTAGGCTTGGAAGCTTTCCACTTTATGCTTTTCTCCATGTGAGTCACATTTAGGTATCTATTTATAAGGTGTCTGTCTGTTAGACTGAACTCCCACAATGGAGATTTGTAGTCCAAACATCCAAAAAGTCCCACCCCTAACTAGTCAGTTGCACATGGGGTAGAGATAAAAAATAAAAGTTACCAATAAAAGACAGTAACAGCTATAACTGGAAAATGTACTTCAACCCAACATCTATCTTTAGCTGCATAGACATCAAAAATGGTAATTACAGTTTAGGAAGACAATTAAGGCTTAAATGTATCTGAAGGCATATTCTTACATTTAAAACAGAATATTTCAATTATTCTGCATGTAGGTCACATTTACAGTATTCCTATAAAACACATTCTGGGCAGGTCTACTTATCTGAATTCAGCATGTATGAAAAATTGTTATTTGTTAAATGAAGAAATCTGAAGCTGTGTGAAAGTCATTCTTCATTCCTCAGCTTTTCTAAATCTGCACAGGTTTGATCAGGCTACTAATAATTATGTGCAAGTCGTTAAACAAAAACACAAAGTAAATGTGTCATATGGGTAATAATATGCATTCCATTCAAATTAAAACAATGACTATGAACCGACCACATCTTGAAATGTCCATTATCTGCCTATTATCAGGTATTTCAGAATCACGTCAGGAGGAACTCCATTCAAACTTTCCAGTAAGATAATTCCTAAAGTTCTTTTTCTATTTACAGCTTGTAGATGGTATGGATTCCAAGTCTCTGCATATTCAGTGGCTGAGATCGAGACTCGGCCTTGTGCAGCAAGAACCTATTCTGTTCGACTGCAGTATAGCTGAGAATATCCAGTATGGAGACAACAGTCGAGTTGTTAGCCAAGAAGAAGTTGAAGAAGCAGCTAAAGCAGCTAATATTCACAACTTTATACAGAATCTCCCGGAGGTAAATGAAGCTGTCCTACTTGCCCTCTTTGTCCATGAAAATGGCTGTCTCATCCTGCAGAGATTGCCTCCAATGAACAGCAGAAAACACAAAAGAAGCAACATTGCATACTAGAATCCTACTAATCTCTTTCTCCTTGGGATCACAATATAGCAAAAGGGAAGAGTTTGGAAAACTTAATGTTTTTGGACTCACATAACTCCATTGTCAGCATGGGCATATGGTGGCACAATATAGCAAAAGGGAAGAGTTTGGAACTCCATTGGCAGCATGGGCATATGATGCTTCCCAACCTTGGGTAAGGCATATGTTCTTGGACTTCAGTTCCCAGAAGCCTTCACCACCAGCTGTGCTGACCAGGATTTCTGGGAGCTGCAGTCCAAAAACACCTGGGTCATCCAAGATTGGGAACCATTGGGTAGGAGTTACTTGGAGTTGTGGAAACTTAACCGCAAGTAAGCTTGCTTGAATTTTGGGACTGATCTCTCAACTATTTCACACAGGGTTTGGCTTCTCATTGGTAAAATAGAGGCATACTGTACCTAACTTATTTTCACTTGCTTACCCCTGCTTTCTCATTCATGTTAAGGTATTGTACACATGGTAAAATAGAGCATATAATTTTATGAATCATTTCTCATTGAGAATTTACTGCTTCTGTTTGATGACTGATTTTCTCTTTTATAATACGGACTTGAAGGATTAAGGGATTTCACGTGTACCTTGTCTGTGCAAAAAAAATGTTTCTTGTGTACTTGCTCTTAGTTTAAAATTATCCATGAAAAGACTGGGCTGAGGGAAAAATCTTTAATAAAATGGCCATCATATGATGGACAATTGGTATTTCAAGCATAGCTTCCAACAAACTCGTTTTACCCTGTCCCAGCTTTGCTTAATTTCTCATTAAACTAAAGGTCCAAATGCACATTAAACATAACCATTCACTGGAAAGGGGATTCCCAAAGAACTGATTGGCTGAAATCTTGTTATGCAGTTATGCAAATAACTTTTAGAGGTAAACTGCTTTAAGCTAAGAAATCTCCCTATATATTAACTGTTGCATGCAGAGTTCTGTCAGTATACAACATATAATGTCTACTGAGATTTTCTTTAGAGTTTATGTCAGTTCACTTCCAAAAGTTATTCTGTTTGCATAACTGCAATAGGATTTCAGCCATTTTGTGTGATTGTGTCACAGCAGGAACCTGATTTCTCAAATGGGACAAACTGCCTCATTCAGTCCACACCAGTGGAATTTTAGCTTTAATGCTAGGGATAGCTATAATTTGACCTTTGGAAAGGAAGTTGTTCTACCAGTCATGTGGATCTTCCAAAAAAAGTGCACGCTGGTAATCCCCTCTGTGATTCTTTGTATTCAAGATCTAGGCAAGGGGTTGTTTAAATGCCAAATTAAGCAACATATACATACTGCCATTTACTTCACTGAAAAGTGAGCTGGAAGCTTTGTTGTTTAAACTAGGGGGCGGCGCTCATCCCGCTCTTCAAGCCATAGAGCCAGCGTTTGTCCGAAGACAATCTTTCCGTGGTCACATGGCCAGTGTGATTTAGACACGGAACGCTGTTTACCTTCCCACCGAGATGGTACCTATTTATCTACTCGCATTTGCATGCTTTTGAACCGCTAGGTTGCCGGGAGCTGGGACAAGCAACGGGCGCTCACTCCGTCACGTGGATTCGATCTTACGACTACTTGGTCTTCTGACCCTGCAGCACAGGCTTCTGTGGTTTAGCCCACAGCGCCACCACAGCTGCCATTTACTTCACTGGAAAGTGAGTTGGATGCTTTGTTGTTTAAATCTAGCAAAGCATCCAGTCCACTTTCCTTTGAAGTAAATGGCAGAAGTCTCTTGAGTTTGAAATGATTACGGACTGTTAGAGAACTTTTAAATTAAACCTGTAATAATTTTCAGCAATATGCTCTTGCAAAATGCAAAGCGTAACTGTTATGCAGGATACCTGCTCCAATTGTTTGACCTTTTTTTTTAGTTTTTGTATACTCATTGTTTTTACCTTTGAATATTGTCTTTTAATGATGTAAGCCACCTTGGGTCCTTTTTAAAGAGAAAGCAGGGTAAACGTATTTTAAATCAATCTATCTATCAGTGTTTCATTAGATCTGCAACTCACAGTAGCATGAGTTGGAGATTACCAAGGTCATGGCAACGAAGCTTCTTCTTGAGCAACAGAGTAGGGAACACCCCTTGCACAAACAGCAGGAAAAAAGAGCCACATGCATAGTGGACTTTTTCAAGTGCAGACAAAACAAACAGGATCCTGGCATTATATTGGTTATTTTCTTCTTTAATTTGTAAGATCTTTGTGCAGCACATTGTATTAGTGCTGTGAATACTGCCTAATGGTTCTGTGACTTTTTTCACAACACTTACTGAGTCTGTGTTCCTTGCTCTTTTTTAAAATAAAAACTACAGAAATACAATACTCGTGTGGGTGATAAAGGAGCACAACTTTCAGGAGGGCAGAAACAAAGAATAGCCATCGCCCGCGCCCTTGTCCGAAAGCCTGCAGTTCTGCTTCTGGATGAAGCCACATCAGCTCTTGACACAGAAAGTGAAAAGGTATGTAAACCTTCCCTTTACTTCCTGCAATATGTATAATTGCCATCTGGTTTTAAATACATCAATGGGTTGGAGTGGAAATGCTCTGTTTGTACTCTAATTGCTTCTCTTTTGTCTTTCATTGCAGATTGTCCAGAAGGCCCTGGACGATGCTAGAAAAGGTCGAACCTGCATTGTTATTGCTCACCGATTGTCCACTATCCAGAATTCTGACATCATAGCAGTTATCCAGAATGGCAAAGTAATTGAACAGGGAACTCATAGTCAGCTGCTGGCAATGGAAGGATTCTATTATGCCCTTGTCAATGCACAAGTATCCCATTAGCCTAGACTTTTAAGATCTGCCATATTTATACAACGAGAAGCAGAACCAATGGAAAAGTGGTACAGCAATGTAAGATACCAAGAACCATACCATTGTTCTGGATGCCCATAGCAGCTTTGAGATTGGGTTTGTGTCCTATCCCACCTGGCTAATTGCTTTTGAAACTTAGAGGACTATGATGCACCAGAAGGAAACCGGGACTCTCCTGCTCAAAGGACAAAAAAGTTCAAACTCTTCACTAGGCTTTTAAGCACATCCAACGTAGGTTCTTGAGACTAACGTCATTATTAAAAATTGGCCATATCCTCTTTCTGTAGCCATCATCAATGATGTTCAGATCCTGCTAGAGCAAAATGAATGTATGTTGGACCTTTCCAAAAGGACTGAAAGACACTTATTTATATCTTTCTTTGTTAAAGTTTTTTTTTTCACTGCAATGTTGATTTTGTAATTGTAATAAAAATATTTGAAAAATGAATGATCAATTTGAACACTTTAGTGATAAGACTGGAGCAGACCTGAAAGCCATCAGCCCCAAAGTTCTGCCCCACTGAATTACCCTCTGCATATACTCTTCTAAGAAATTTAACATATACGTGCAGAATTGTCTTCTTCTGGGGACTGAAGACAACACAGATGGCTTTTGATGTTATTGAACTTTGGTGATCCTTCATTCAATGACCCTAATGGTTGTTGCAACTGAAATTCTGAAATATAGGTTATCTTAGTAGTTCTGCCTTCACTCTTCTACTGAATAGCTGACTTTCCCAAGAAAGCCTAACACCACATAGATTACGCAATAATCTGTTTTGTGTATGTTGGGTTGGCTCATATGCATGCTTTTTGACTTTTCATGTTAGGAAAAATGAAATGTGATATTTAGTTCCGGGTCATGGAAAGATAGGAGCCAAATACCCTAAGATAACATCCAAATGATGCAATTCTCCTTCCTAGTCATAGAAAGATAGGAAATCCATATGTTTAGCAGATAGAGTGAGTCACTGTGACTCAAGATACGGAGATTCAAGCCCATGGTCAGCCATGGAATCTCACTGGTAAAATCTTAAATCTCTCACATGGCTTGAAAACCCACCCTATCAAGGTCATTGCAAGTCAGATGCAATTTGATGGCATGATATACATAACACACCTGAAAAGACAATGGCTTTGAAGCCTTGCAGAATCCTCAAGCACCTTGCCTCTCTACCCCCTTAGGAACTGCCATGCCAACTTTTCTCAAAGACGGATGGCTGCTTCAGTGGGGAACTGAGCCTTTGGTGCAGCATAGGAAGATCTGTGTAGGGTCTTGCGGTGTACTTAAGTTCAGAAAATTCACCCATTCTAAGACCTTGTGTGAGATGTTGTACCTGAAGTCTGGTGGGGCCTTTGGAACTTAAGGGAAAATTTTGCAGCATACCGGTCTTGCAACATATTGCCAGGCAGTTCATTGGCCTTGCCAAACTCTACATCACCCCCTTTCTGGCTGGTAGGTAGCTTTTTCAGCAGCCCTAGCTGATTACTAATTGCCTTGGAGACAGGTAAAAAGGAACTTTTTTGACCTGTTGAGGCATATTTTGTGCCATATCTAGAGATTTTTCTCCTCTCTTTGCATTTGCTACCATTGTACATCCTATAACATGCTTTCTCCTTCCCCAGCCATTATATTTGGGATCATTTAAAGGCACTTGTATTATCACAGCTTGCAGAAGTAGTGAGGAGAGGAAAGGAGAGCCCTAGAATGATGAAAGAAGAAGGCTAGAGCACCAGGGGAAAACCAGGGACTCCACAGACATAGACACCTTCAGGAAAGGTCTACTCCATCCTGTCGGACCTGCCACATCCAGATTGGCAGCATTGGGAGCTTGCATCTGAGCCGAAGGCACTCCAGGCCTTTAGGTTTCATGACATCTTCAGGCAGCTGACTGACCTAGCAAGATTTTCACATACAGATTCTGTTCCATGGTATTCATTAATTTGTGTATCTACTTGATGTATAGTTATGACTGTCTGTTTAATTGACACCCTGTTTCCAGCCCTTTCCTCTTGAAACAGTTATTACATTACAATGCTTACATTTTGAATCTTCATATCTATCAAATCAGTTCATCCTTGTCATGATGACTTGCAGTTTTTGTGAATTGCAACACCAATGGGATTGAGAAACTTCGTATATTTCCACAGAGTCTTCCTTGGTAGACAGAACTTGCCATTGTGAAAATGTATTGATCTTCTCAATAGGTCTCACCTTTCATTCCATTAAAGAACTCCAGATGATTTACAAAATACGATTTAATCACTTCAAACTGTCATAAAACAAGAGAATCACCAGTCCCATCTATGTTATGAAAAGTAAATGGATCTCTGTGATTTTAAAAGTTTTCCTTCACACTGTAATAAACTAAACTTGGTCAGCTTCTCTGGGACCCGGTTTCAGAAAATGAATGTCCTCACGACGAAGAAAGCTCCTTTCCTAGTAGCCAGCAGTTTTGCCTTTCCTGTTAGCAACATGCAAACGGAACCTGTGGCTACAGGTGGCCCTTGAATGATCTCATGGATGTAGTCCTCCCTGTTCTTTGTGCCATGTTTTTCTTTGCACCAGTGAAGGGCATTTCCTCTTCAAATGGCATGCATATGAGTATTTTGCAGCCTAATTCATCCCCCTACTGCCGCCAGATGCCTCATCATGTGAATTTTGCAAGTACAGTGAGATGTGGAAGAGATATTCCCATGACATTGCCATCCTGTAGACCAAGCTCCCCACAGCTTGCATTCAGACAGCTAAGTCAAATTCTTCATTTTTATTATTACTAGACTAACATATGTGTAATCTACAAATGATTTCTAGCACAGAGTGGGGGCACCTACAGTGGTGCCCCGCTTGACGATTACCTTGTTAGATGAGGAAATCGCTCAATGATGATGTTTTTGTGATCGCAAAGAAATGTTTTAAAAGGGAAAAATTTTTTCATGATGATCGGTTCCCTGCTTCGGGAACCGATTTTTTGCTTAATGATGATCAAAACAGCTGATTGTCGGGCTTTCAAAATGGCTGCCCGCTGTGTAAAATGCCTCCCCGCTGTGTTTTAGGACAGATTCCTCGCTTTACAGGCACCGGAAAATGGCCGCCCTATGGAGGATCTTCGCTGGACGCTGAGGTATTTTGCCCATTGGAACACATTGAACTGGTTTTCAATGAATTTCAATGGGATTTTTACTTTCGCTTGACAACAATTTCATTCTACAGCGATTTTGCTGGAATGGATTATCCTCGTCAAGCGAGGCACCACTGTATGTTGGTCTGCTGCACCACAAAGTCTTGTAAGACATCTTAAAGGCTAACATGCTTTAAAAATTAATCTTCTGTTGCCTTCAGCCCACTTCAGGTGGAATCAGGGATCTACAAAAGCTTAAGCCAATAGACCAGGTTATACTTTAAGGTGCCACAAGACTTTCATGACCAAAGGAGCAGATGTATCCATGAAAGCTCTCATTGAAACACGACAGTTAGTCCTTAAGGTGTCAATACGTGTGTGCGTAATTTGCTTTTGCCTGGATAGGCTTGCACAAATTAACATGGCTCTTTCTTTGCTGCTACAAGTAATTCAAATGTTCCTGGATATAACTCCTTATTTTAAAACAAAAACATGAAGACCTTTTAAACTAAAGTGAAAAAAAAGCTCTTTGAAAGATGCGCCCTAGCTTTGTTCATGTGGGTACAGTACTTTGTCTTAACTATAAAATAGTGTCTCATGCTTATCTTTTATTCACTAATATAGAGATGTTTGATTAGACTCTACAGAGCATGTCATGGAATGGCAGGTCACGGAATGGAGAAGTTGTTCCAGAGTCCCATTTTCAAGACTCTTCTGCCTCCAGAAGCAATGCCAGCATACAGGCATGCTTCTTGACATGAAGCATTTTGCATGCAATAGTGACATCTAATGGTTCTAAAGGATACACATCTATAGTTTAACTTGGTTTCAAAAAGATGCCTGGAGGTGCATCCATCTTTATATCTTGTCCCATCTTCTGTCTGACAAGTGGCTAGATTTATATATAAAAATTTTGCTGCTTTGCCTAAATCTGGCCACTTGTCAGACACAAGATGGGACCAGTTTGTCCCCTGTTGCTCCAGAGGGGAGCAAGACCAGAGAAACAAAAAATGAAGGTTAAGCAGCTATTTGCTAAGCGTCACCTTGGGAGGTCGTGTCCTCTCCTTCTCTGGAGGTATTTCAGCAGATTCCAGACAGACATCCCTCGGGCAAGATGAAACTGTATCCTATCTTGAGCAGCAGGTTTAACTAGATATCCTCTAAGGCACCTACCAATTACATGCTTGTAGCAAAATCCTTGGGGCATACCGACACCACCTAATGTCTTGTAAGCAATCACATAAATCCTGAACGTGTAGATGTTAAGGCTAAGAAAATAAGGCTTTAGGAAAAAGGTGGAGACACATGTCCAGACCTTGGAAATCTTACCGCCATACATTTACACACACACTTGGGTAAAGGAAGGAACCACAGTAAGTCAAGATGTCATAGCCATCATGTCCAGGCTGATGAAGATGCCCACATCTTCAAGTAAATGGTATACAACACCAAAACATAGAGATGAAAGTAGCAATTTACATAACATGTCATGTATTATTTTATTCAAACAAATGCAATTTTTCCCCCAAATGATTCAAAACTTTGCATCTGGCCTTCTGGATGTTGGTGGACTATGCAGCTTCCATAATCCTTCCTGATGGGCCATACTGGTAGGCTGGTGGGAGCTGCAGCTGGAAGACACAAGTTCCCCACTGTTGCTTTTTTTAAAAAAGGAGCCTCATGGCACAGTAGTGAAACTGCAGTAGGGCAGCCAAAACTCTGCTCACAACCTGGGTTCAATCCCAGGTAGACGAGAAGTTTACTCAACCTTCCATCTTTCTGAGGTTGGTAAATTGAATACCCAGCTTGCTGTGTGTGGGGGAGGCAATGTGTAGCCTGTATAATTAAATTGTAAACTGCCTAGAGAGTGCTTTAAGAGCTATGCAGTGGTATATAAGCAGCATGATTTGCTTTTTTGGTAACATGCATTAAAGATGCAATGCTAGACTCACTCACTTGGTTATACCGGTAAGTATCCCTGAATTTCAGAGGGCTTACTCCATAGAGATGTTATGGGTAGTAACTTTCACTGTAAGTAACTTTGCTCAACACAAAGGTCCTCTCTGTTCAGCACTGGTTAGGCCTCACCTTGAGTACTGTGTCCAGTTCTGGACACCACACTTCAAGAAGGATGCCAACAAATTTGAACAAGTTCAGCCTTCCTCCGGAGATTCGTGCAGCCCCTTCGATGGGCATCTTTAAAAACCAACTGAAAACTTGGACATTTGTGCAGGCCTTCCTTCCAACTAAATGCTTGATTTATTTTCTTT